ACATCGTGTGAAAGTGATTATCAATAACAGAATATCTCAAGCTACTAATGTAATCGTAAAAAAAGACGTAATAACTGCATTTCTACCAGATATACTTAAGAAATCCAGCATAGAAACGCTAGATGATCCGACAGGCGCTAAAGGGAAATGAGATTGGATGCTGGTAAATACAAAAGGTAAGGTAGAGACCGCAAATTACCTTGGGCTTGGTGTCAAGCTTGGCTGCCGATATGAAGTGGTTAATAGTCCGTCCAGAATGGAAATTGGTACTTTATGTTGGACACACTTCTGTACACAGTGACTCAAAAGAACATTTGGCAAACGAAATTAAGGTACTAATTATAGATGATTGGCGATTTTTAATAAAAACATATACCAAATAAAACCAATAATGTTTAGTTGTAAAACTGAATAAAGAATCTTAAATCAAACCAATATTTAAAAATTACAAAAATACAACAAATATAAGATATATACCCCATTCATATCCACGTAATAGAAATAATGTTCGAATAATAAGAATAAGTTATAAAATATTTAACTTAAAAATTAAAATCTACTTGAAATTTCTTTTTAGAATGGAGCAGATGTACGCTTTCCACTGGGGAGTATACTTTTATGGAAGCCGACATCATCGGATTTGATGGTTCTAAACCTGACTTTGGTGCCCAGCACATACGTTCTGTGCTTCTTAAAACCAATTGTAACGAATACAAGTTTGATGTCACATCTAATAAGCTCAACTGGTTGTTTCCAGTAACAACTAACTCCGGCGTAGTAAGAAGCAGTAAATGGGTTGTTTGCGAACATGCATCCCGTGGACATTCCACTGCTAACCACAGGGTGGTGTGGTTTGTCGCCAAATAACTTATAAAAGGAAACGTAGGTACATGCATGTGATTAAGGAGGGAAATATATTAGATTTAATTTGATAGTTGTATTACACAAGCTTTTATGCTTATATATATATATATATATATAATTATATATATATATATATATATATATATATATTCCTTTTTGCATTACAAAGTTTTTTATTGACAATTTAAGGAAATGATTTACTTTTTTTCCAGAACATACCGGTATTATCTAGCACGAATATAACTAAATCATGTCCACTCTAGATGATAGTTTTTTTTTAAAAAAATATGTACCCATTTACCTTCCAGCTTCCATAAAAATGTATTAATTTAAACAATGTATACCTTTTTAGTAATATATATTTACATAGTTTTTGGTTAAACGATTAAGTAGGATAGACCAACATACTTTGTTTTATTGCAGGGCAAGATTACTTCTTCATTCAAATTGACTCTATTGAAGTATGATTTTTAACAAGCATGTCATCCCAGAGATATAAAAGTTATTGTCGAATTATTTCCTAAAACAAGCACTTTTAACATAAATTTTTGAAATTTATTGAAATATTAACAGCTACAAATTGTTGAAATAAAGTAGAGTTGCATTTGTGTGATTGCTTTGTTGTTTCCTTGGTGTGTTTTTAAAATGTATATTCTAAAAATAAGTTAATGACGGATGCTAATAGACTTGGTAACGTGACGTTTCATGCAATCGGCCAATCATGGTTACTGTCAATTTAACATCAAAACTAGTGAAATGCGAGTCAGTGATTTGATATATACTGAACCGGACAGGCTACAAAGGCTGCCATATACAATTCCCTGCCAGCCGTTTGCAGCTTGACATCCCTTATCTTGGGGGGGGGGGGCTTGTGCTTCAGGGAATTGTAGACCTTATCAGAAATGATGGTCTCCTGGGCAGCAGTATCTACCATTGCTGTTTTACTTGGACATCCCCTACTTGGACCCCATAGTAACTGGGAAGATGAATTAACCTGACAGACAACAATAAGGTCTGATTCGACTCCCCCCGTGCCTACTTTGCTGAAATTGGCAGCCAACCGGGATTTTTTAATTTTGCAGGTCTTGTCTGCAGATAGGGACGGGAAACGACCTACTTTTTCACCGTCCCTTTCTAGTTTTACGACTTTTTGTTGTCGTTAAGCTTTGGGTAATTTCTTTTAATATGCCCTATTTCGCCACAATTGTAGCATCCGGCTGATTTGCGGGGTTGGGACAAATCTGACAAAAAAGTTTTTGTCAGTCTCTGCTCCAGGTCATTTAAGGTCTTGCTTAAATCACCAGTTGACTTAGGCTCTGCCTGCTGCTCCCGTGATGGCTGGGATGCAACAGCAAAAATCTTTTCGGTTTTTTCCTGTCACCATACATGGCTGCACACACCTGCTGATACTTGCGTTCCATTTGTATGTCTGCATGCACAGACTCCGGTCGCTGCATGCAAACAAAGTGACCGGCCTCTTTGTCAACCATACCCTGACAGAATCTGTTCACTGTTTGGACAGTGACAAACTCCTCTGGCAGCTTCTTAAAAGCTCTATAACTTAGAGTGAGCACTCGGTCAGCCCACTCATCTAGGGACTCCGTTGTCTCTTTTGTGCTGCATTCTGAAAACTTACCTGTGCAGCAGCTGGCAAACTCATGTTGGCCAAATCGGGTAGCCAACTTGCTAACCAGCCTCTTATATGTAAGCTGACCTTATTGTTCACAGATAAGCGCATAATACTCGAGCGCTTTACCATCTAAACACCAGACAAGGCAGCTAACTTGTTCTCCATCAGTCCACTGGCCTTGTTGGACATAGCGAGTGAACTTTAAAATAACGGTTCCCAAAAAATCTTACCATCATATGATAAGTGTTCGGGAAAGGCAGATATCCGGTTTCGAACCCGAGAACGCTATGGGCAGATGGTGCCCTAGCGAACATAGAGTCATCACTGCAATCACTATCGACTACCTGGTCAAAACGTATCGTATGTTTAGGGGTGGTATAGTCTGGTTGTAGTAAGGTGGGGGGGGGGGGGAGTATGGATTTTGACTTTTTATCAGTAAAATCCGCAGGAGTCATCAACTTCAGATTTTTATCTGGAAAAATCTTGTTGTCTGTTGCAAGGGTGCAAACAGATGAGAGTTGTTGCTGCTTGTGAGCGGCCAGAACATTGGTTGCCGCTTTCACCGACTCCACCATTTCCAACCAATCATGTGCACTTGGCTGAATATCTTCCTCCTCGCCCTCGTCTGTATCTACCTCCAAGCTTGATTGGCCTAGTTAGTCAGTATTCTGTGCTGACAGAGACATATTCTGTCCAAAGTCTATCATAGCAAGTATCTCAGGGGAGAATTTGCGACGACAGATGACCTCTAAAATTTCCCTGGTTATATTACCAGAGCTCTCCCTCACTGCAATGAGCGCCTTGCCTAGGCTTGGACTCACATTAGGTATTGCCTGTAACCTTTCCTCAGATGCAAAGTTAATGGCAACCAAGGGTGGCTGCACAACCTTTGCTTCCTGAAAAAATATCTCGGACTCTCCCTTCATATTGATATTCTACATGGCAACGGATTACATACCAAGAAATATTCAAGTAAAAATATGTTAAAACTAAATAAATCTCAATATCTATCTTCTCCCCCTTTATATGGCAAAAGGGCTAAATGGAGTTTATCAAAATATTACAGTAACTGTACCAGTGACAGCAGCATGAAAAGGAAATCCGAAAAATAAACAAATTCCAAAGAATTTGGTCCTTCAAGGTAACGTCTAACCTAAGCGGAATTTGATGGCTTAACTACGATTATTTACGTAGAAATTCTGGTTGAAAATCGTTCAAGCAGATTTGCACACTATGAACAAAACCAAGAATTCAGGTAGACTTCGTTCTATGAGTGCAGAATTTGACAGAAAATTTGTACACAATCGATAAAATTATGGAGCTTTGGTAGCGTCTATCTTTCAGAACGGAATTCGTAAAAATTACCACTGCCTCCAATATAGAACTGTCACGATTGATTATAAAGGGATTGACAATATAAACAATCGACTAACCTTCCACGTCTGGATCGTAGCCAAGCTAGGAATTGCCTAATTCTTCTAGTTATATATTACACTAATAGGGCGCCAATCGCAACTACTCGGCCCTTTCCGTCAGTCTTCGGATAAGGACCTCGAACACAATAGTATGAATACACAGAACGGATGCGGTATTCCGGTCTAACCTACGCTAAGAAACTAAACATGTAAACAAATAGTAATTTAATGCTGGGAGTTGTTGACACGTTTATTTCCAATATATGTAATAAAAGTCCACCTAAAATAAGTGAATTCATAGGTACAAAAGCAAACAATACATTATTTATATATTTACTAATATGGCTGTAGAAACCGAAAGTACAAAAAACCAACCTGTTGACATTTGGTCGGATTTATTTTATATTGAACATCAGTGGGCATATTTAAATTACAAATTGTTGTCAGACATATTTTCAAGCGTAAGAGTACCGGAACAGACATTAGATGTCAGATATATACATTCGTTTTACATTATCTCAGTTTCTGTTTACATCTGTAAACCACGTGGTAGAACTACTTTCAATTCGTATTGTTTCCGAGGTCAATATTATAGATAATGGCCGAGGCAGTTCTGAATGATAGGGCGCCCAACTGTCAAGCCTAACACACTAGTTCCGGTTGACTCGGTACCTTCCGTTAACTTCCGTCAACTCCCGTAACCAGTACCATACGGTACTACACTACGATGATTATCTGGCACGGGAGTTACTTCCCTTCTGTACTTCCTTCTACTTTCGTTTTTAACATGCGTTGTTGACAACAGAATTTTTAGTTTTTAATGCATTAAAATAGAAATTTATTGTATTTTTGTGCTTAAAACATCCCCCTTTTAAATATCAAATGTTTACAATTCCATTCTTCCAGCTTGTGTTTTGACTTTTTGTGATATTATTGACGTAAATAATCGTTGATTTTATTTGTTTTCCTTTGCATTTTTGTTTATTTTCTTTGCTTTTTGTTTTGAAAATACCGTTAAAAATACTGGTACTTTTTGAAATGGTAACCGGTAAATTTTGAAACGGTTTTCGATACGGTCTAAGTACCGGTTATCGGTATCCAACCCTATGGACAGGTAAAAGTACCTTTAGATAATTTTTAATTTGGAGAGTTATGGTATTCTTAAAAAGGTTTTACTGAAACCTTTTTAAGAATACCATAACTCTCCAAATTAAAAATTATGTTAAAATTTTACATTCTTCCTATTGAAGAGCACTCTAAATTAGATGCCCCGTTTTGATAGAGCTGGTCAATAAGTGTTTGCATAACTAGTTTATTGATGTTTAAGCTATAATTTGGTGGGTTAATCCATGCATATGAGTGCCCGGTGGAATAAAGAATTGATTTAATATGTTTTACCCATTACTTCATGAGCATTTTGTGAAAAATGGCTGTTTTCATTGACAAGCTCCCGTTAAAAGTTCAAAATGCTATAAAACTATAAAAACTGCTTCAATACTAATCAAACTTGGCACATGTGTTGACTGGACCATTGCCTTTGCAACAACATGTCTTATATTTCCTGTTACCATGGCAACGAGGGGACATCTCAAAATTGCCAAAAATCACTATTTTGCGTTGATTTTTTCCATTGAAATTGATTGCAAAGTGCTGCAACTTCTCAATGGATTGAGATAGAGTCAAATGCTTTTCAGCGTTGGTTACACGTTACCTTATAATCGATCTGGGGTCATTTTTAGCCTCTCACAAGTCCAAAATTTTCTTGGTGATGAGGGGGACTGCCGCCCCCGTTCAAACCCCCCAAACAGAAGGGGGCACATCCCCCTTCTGGCAACCCCCTGATGTATCTTTTGGTTGGGGTTAACCATAAGTTAGGATTGGCGGAATAGTGTGGTCAAAAAGTTTAAGCTGTAAGTCAATAGGTAATGATAGATTATTTATCTTTAACAGGATTTGGTGCATTGCTTTATTGGCATGGGCCGCTTGGTGCCTTCTACATGATAGGATACTACCCGAAGATGAGAAAAGAACTCCAAGGTATTTATAAGTAGAGACTGTTTCTATAGCTTGTCCGTTTATATTGAAGGAATAGTTACGTGGCTGATTTGTCCCAAATACTATGACCTTTGTTTTAGAATAATTAATAGACAATTTCCAATTTTAACAATAAGCATGGAAACTGTCTAAACATTTTTGGAAATTTGACTCACTATCTGCAAATAACACTGTATCATCAGCATATAATAAGACCAATATTTTAAATAAACATAAAGAATTATTATCAGTAAAATTAGGGTTTATACCATTATTATTTAACAAAAGAAACTCTTCAAGATCATTTAGATACATAGAAAAAAGAATAGGAGATAAATTTTCACCCTGTTTTATACCACATCCACTTGAGAAAAAGGCAGATGTTTTGCCATCTGGAGAGACACATGCTTTTATATCATCATACATTTTCTTAATCACAGTAAGTATTTTGCCTGTTATACCAAGTTTTAAAAGTTTGCACTATGGCCGGCTCACCAAATGGAATCAGAAGCTGAAAAATCTATAAAGGCCGCAAAAAAGTTTCTTTTTTTCTGATCTTATTTTCTCTATAAGGAATTGTAAACTAAAGATGTGGTCTGTTGTGGAATAGTGTTCCCTAAATCCAACCTGGTTCTCATTTAATAAATTATTTTCGAATAAAAAGTATTAATTCTTGTATTTAAAATAGATGTGAATATTTTACCAAAGCAGCTTATATAATGTTGTAATAGGTCTGTAATTTACTGGATCCTTGGGAGAACCTTTATTTTTCTATATTGGTTTAAATGTGCCTGATAACCAGGCATCTGGTATGACACCATGATCTAGAATATAGTTAAATAAAATCAGAAATAATGGGGACATTTGCTTTTTAAGTATTACAATTTGGTGTGACAAAAAAAAATAATTTAACTTACAGCGGTCAAGGAAACGGTGTACAGTCACATGTTGGACAGGTAAAACTTAAGAAATTTTTCATTAGAGTTAAGTACACAAATTTTAAGCTTTTGTATAATAAGCTTAAAATCATCATACATTTTTGTAAATCTCATTAAAATATTTTGTTTTGATACCAAGCATATGGGATTATAATGTGAATAAATTCAGCAATTTGAATTTCTATCGAGATTATTTTATTTATACTTTCATCATTTGATGAAATAATTAAAGGCACATGATGCCTCAGAAGTTCATATTTTTTAATATCTAGAAATGATGTCAAACATAAGTTTAGTAATGTTTTAATAATGGATTTAGAGTATGTTAGATGTGTAACAAATGAAGATAGTATAGTTGCATGGCAATTATGTGCCGTAAAGGAAACAAAATTTAACAAATCAGCATTTTACTTCCATACAAAAAATAATTTATAGTAATAATACCCATTGCCAACTGAATAAAAGAAGCAATGATATATCATATAGATAGCAAATGAGTATTTTTTTAGAAATATAAATGATAGCACTTCTGAGGCATAATGGGCCTTTAATTCAGATAATTCCCAGATGTGCTGTTGGTGAAACGTGCACAATTGACCGAAACTGTCGGGCACCAGATGGAACAAGTTATTGTGTAAAGGACACTTGGATAAAAGGCAAGATACTACTATAAGTTAAAACCACTCTTATTGTTCTATTAGTTAAAGTTCAAGCGGTCTAATGCTTATTTCAAGGTTATTATTTGATCAATTAATTAATTAACACTACTTAAAGATGCGAAAAACATTCATTGAGCGCCGCGAAGGCTCTATTCTAGTGACATAAGCCTTCTATGCTATCATCATAATAGTTATCATGATAATATTATCGTTGTTTAATGATTGTTATTTATTTATTTCAATAAAAAAGTTCATTTACTAGTAGAATATGAACTGTATGTAGTTCTTTATAAAATCGAACGTAAGAGATGTAATTGCTATTAAACCTTTTTCTGTTTTTATACCATTTTATTTCGAGTGTCTGTTGATATTTCAGAGTGCCCTGCAGGACAGTCAGAATGTACCTTGTATAACGGTACTACCGGATGTTCATCAAGTTGTGACGGTGTTCCTGAATGTGCAGAGCTGTCAGATGAAGAGCCTTGCAATAAATGTAATTTGCATATTTGGTCATCAGAACTGGAAGTTCATGGAAAGCTTTTTTGTATAGGCGAGATGACCGGGCTTCAGTCGTTCATACGTTCATAATTCTTTATTCGATTTTTCCTCTGAAATTTTGGATATGAATTTAATTTAAACGTTTTTAAAGGTAACCCCCTATCTGCAATAAAATCATCCACTTCTTACAAACCTATAGAAAAATCGTCAGCAAGCTTTGTATTTTTTTTTAAATGAATAGAGATTTTCAGTTCGCCTATATCAGCTGTGAAACAATAACTTAATTTAAAATATTTTGAATGTTTCAGATAAATGTAAAACAACATGGCGGATGGTATTCGAACATGACTCAAAGGGAAATGTCTTAGCTGGAAGTAAGTCGGACTTAATGAACGCTGTCAGAAGGGTATGTAAATTTTTACGCACACGATTTCATCAAAATAAATGGTGATTCCATTTGTTTCTCTTATGCAATACCTATATCATTGACATCTCATCTTAAGATTGTAGATTGTTTTTAAATAAAACCGATTTCCAAAACAATAAAACAATGCCTTTAAACTCAAACTGTTTTCATACATAGTATCAGTAACGAAAAACATTACAATCCAGCGCTACATTTTTACTAACTTATATATTTTTATAATCATTAAATTTGAGTACAAAAATATATACATCCACATTTTTTCAATTTGTTATTGACGTGAAAGAAGATAAATACTAAAACGAACTTTTAACATAGCACCATGTGATTTTATTGTTTTGTAGGAAAGGAAATGGCTTTATGTTAGGACCTCTACAAAATTGATACATATAATATGTAATTATTTTAGGGCGCTGAAATTAAAATGTTTAGAGGAGAATACCCGTATGTTGACAGCGCAGACACTACTCTGATAGTAGGAGACGAAGTATGCGCACAGAGCCTTCATCAGGTTTCTAAAGCATCATGGGCAGCGTTCCAGGTAATTAATATACATGCATGCAAAGCACATTAAGTGTACTGCTTCAATTAAGTGGGGATGAAGCCAATCTTTTTCATACTTTTTAAGGATCAGAAAGTAATTTACATTTATATCTAATTGAGTAAATCATTTCAAATTATACAACATATCTTGTTAGACTTTATCATTTTAAATGATACAACATGTAATGAAAGACTTAAACATGACTTTAAATTATGGTGCAAGTGTTATAAGGCTATATTAACAAATTAAATTATACAGTGCCTATTTTTAGAATGAACTTTGACTTTAAAATTTTATATGGAACATTATTTGGAAGACTGTGGAAGACTTTAACGTCATAGACCATGTATTCGAAGACTAAATCATTACTTTAATATAAAATCGTAAAGAAAAAATTGGGGGACAGAATCATTACCTTTAGTTAAGTTCGTAATATTGTGTGGCTTATGCAAATACAGGGAAAGGCATATTGGTGGTTTACGGTTACTTGTACGTCCGGAGATTTCTCGATGTCACGGTGGTATGTTGGAGATCGCACAAAACCAGGTGACGATCAGGCGGCTTATGGATTCAAGTGGTTTGCAAGGTATTTATTTATCATGAAGAAAAAGTACAATTCATCCCATTATCAAGTTTAATATGCCAGAGTTCGGCGTGACGCACTATATGATTAAGATATTTTTATTTTCCATATTCTCTACTTATTTAAGATATTTCGAAATTCTGAAATGAAATATACAAACAAATGGTATAACAAGAATGAATGACCCAATATTTACCTTGTGTACAATGAGTTACATATTGATTTGGGCTTTATTTCGGGAATGAAATCGGGAAGCGTTTTGTCTGCAATAAGATATCTTTTTCGTGTCACTTAATAAATGTATTTGACCAGTACTTTACAATGAGATATAAAAATGTAATAAACTTGAAAATTCAGTAAGATTACTTTGCAAGTTATATCGTAATAAGCACACATTAATTCATTCATATGCTGATTTCTGAAAAATATCTCAATATAAAGTCTTAAAATCGATCCACTAAAATGCTTGTCTTCGTTACAAATAAAACAAATCAATTTATTTTTCATTTGTATTGGATTATATGATAATTATTTAACACAGGGAGGTAGAAGACAAATATATGACTGCCGTCCCAGCGACCGGAAGTGATATCAGTGCAGTGAATGCACATATTCAAGCTGTTAAACAAAGTGGTTATGGTGTGACAGTTAAGCAAGAATCCAAATCTCTTAACACGGAAGAATATTACAGAGCAGATAACCTTGAGGTTTCGTTAGATGACAAAGAGATTGTTGCCCAAACAGTTTGGAACTTGCTAAACGAAAAATACAAGACTGTAGTCAAAATTTCGGTAAACATGTTAAACCATTCCGATTAAATTTGGAAAGTCGAAAGTGTTATATCTTTTGTTTACAACAAAATATCAAATACACATTTTGTATTATGTATGTGTATTTCGTATCAAACTTTATGATATACAATGTACACTCAAATAATTTCATTTTCACTTTTATATGTCTAACAAGAGTTTACGTATGTAATTCATTTAAACCGGAGAATGCAAATATCTCATACATTACTTTTTATTTTGCCCCCCGCCATGTAATGGCCGGGGCATATAGTGATACCCTGTTCCGTCATTCCGTCCTTCAGTCATTCTGTCATTCCGTCATCATCAGTTTCCGTTCATTATCTTAAGAACGGTTGCACACATTCAACTCAAATTTGACATATGGATATGTCATGAGAAAGTACAGGTCAAGTTCGAATTTGGTTACGGTTCGATGATTTTTTGGCAGAGTTATGCCCCTTTTACTTTGAAAATAAATATGAAATTTCAGTTTCCGTTCATTATCTCCCCAACGGTACAACAACATTCAACTCAAACTTGACATATGGATATGTCATGAGAAAATACAGGTCAAGTTCGAATTTGGTCCTGGTTCGATGATTTTTGGCAGAGTTATGCCCCTTTTACTTTGAAAATAATATAAAATTTTCAGTTTCCGTTCATTATCTCCCCAACAGTACAACACATTCAACTCAAACTTGACATATGGATATGTCATGAAAAAAATACAGGTCAAGTTTGAATTTGGTCATGGTTCGATGATTTTTGGCAGAGTTATGCCCCTTTTACTTTGAAAACAATATGAAATTTTCAGTTTCCGTTCATTATCTCCCCAAAGGTACAACACATTCAACTCAAACTTGACATATGGATGCGTCAAAGGAATGCGCAGGTCAAGTTCAAATTTGGTCATGGTTCAATGATATTTGGCAGAGTTATGCCCCTTTCACTTTGAAAGTAATATGAAATTTTCAGTTTCCGTTTTTTATCTCCCCAATGGTACAACACATTCAACTCAAATTTGACATATGGATATGTTTTTGGGATGCCCAGGCCAAGTTCGAATTTGGTCATGGTTCAATGATTTTTGGCAGAGTAATGTCCCTTTCACTTTGAAAATAATATGAAATTTACAGTTTCTGTTCATTATCTACCCAACAGTGTTACATATTCAACTTAAATTTGACATATGGATATGTCAAAGGAATGGGCAGGTCAAGTTGGAATTTGGTCATGGTTTGATGATTTTTTGGCAGAGTCCTTTCACTTTGAAAATAATATAGATACATCTAAGGAATAAGCAGTTTAAGTTTGAATTTGGTCGTGGTTCAATGATTTTAGACAAACTTATCTTTAATGAATGTTGGAAAAATTTTGAACTTTCAGTTTCAGCACTCATACTTTTAGCCATTATTTTGGCTACAAATATGCAATATGCTATTTTTAAAAGGTTAAGACTGAATAATTTCAGTGCCTTGAACATTGTATGAAAATGGTTTGTGTTAACATTGAAAAGTTTTAAGGGCTTTGAACTTAAAATGAAAAAAAATAATTAATGCACCATCTGAAATTTTGGCTGCATGCGGGGGCATGAAGACACATTTCTAGTTTATTTTTAATTTTAGACATCAGGTCATTGGTTGTTTCAACACTTTGCTTCAAACGGACAAGTCGAAGTAAGTCAATATCTGTTAGGTGAAAACAGACGGGTCTCATTCGATTCAAGCAAACGGGAAACGAAATGGTACTTTGATCCATGTTGGCAGTTCATGTATTCCCATGATCAGAATGGAATCCGTAAAGGAGGGTCAATACTCGAATTGATTAATGCAGTTAAAGCTGGACATCGTGTGAAAGTAATGATAAATAACAGAATATCTCAAGCTACTAATGTAATCGTAAAAAAAGACGTAATTACTGCATTTCTATCAGATATACTAAAGAAATCCAGCATAGAAACGCTAGAGGATCCGACAGGCGCTAAAGGGAAATGGGATTGGATGCTTGTAAATACAAACGGTAAGGTAGAGACCGCAAATTACCTTGTTGGCGAGGGACAGGGCTCGATGTCAAGCTCGGCTGCCGATATGAAGTGGTTTATAGACCGTCGAGAATGGAATATTGTACTTGATGTTGGACCCACTTCTGTAAACAGTGGCTCAAAAGAACATTTGGCAAATGAAATTAAGGTACTAATTAGATGATAAGCGATATTTAATAAAAACATATACCAAATAAAACCAATTATGTTTAGTTGTAAACTTGAATAAAGAATCTTAAATCAAACCAATATTAAAAAATTACAAAAATACGATAAGATAGCCCTTCATAATCACGTAATAGAAAACAATGATCGATTTTAAGATTTAGTTATAAAATATTTAATTCAAAAATGAAAATCTACTTGTAATTTCTTTTCAGGATGGAGCAGATGTACGCTATTCCTGGATAGGTTCCACTTGGGAGTATACTTTTATGGAAGCCGACAACATCGGATTTGATGGTTCTAAACCTGACTTTGGTGCTAAACACATACGTTCTGTGCTTCTTAAACCAAATGGCAACGAATACAAGTTTGATGTCACATCTAATAAGCTCACCTGGTTGTTTTCAATAACAACTAACTCCGGCGTAGTTAGGAGCAGTAAATGGATTGTTGGCGAACATGCATCCCGTGGAGAGACCACAGCTAACCACAGGGTGATGTGGTTTATCGCCAAATAACTGCTAAAAGGAAACGTAGCTACATGTATGTGATTAAGGAGGGAGATATATTAGATTTATTTTAATAATTTTATTACACACGTTTTTTTGCATGCATATATATATGTTTTTGCATTACAAAGTGTTTTATTTATAATTCAAGGAAATGATTCACTTTTCCCCCCAGAAAATACCGGTATCATCTAGCACGAATATAACTGAATCCATTCCACTCTAGATGATAGTTTTTTAAATAATTAAGAGCAATTATTACACATATTTGTACCTGTATATGTGTGAAAGGAATAAATGCGTTGATTAATAGTTGCTTCCAAATACGTAAATAGTGAATTGTATTTTATACATTATTCGCTTTCCAGTTCGATAACATTGTCCAAAGTTGCTAAGTATTTTTCATTTGGAAATGTTACAATACCTCTTTCAAAATATTTTTTTTGTATGGGACAATTCGATTTAAATGTTATCATATATCATGTCCAGTTCATGTGCAAAATTGCAAATAGCATATGTTCAATAATGTATACCACATTTGTATTTTAGCAGTTTTTGGCTAAACAGTCAAGTAGGATAGGTCAAAATACTTTTATTGTAGGGCAAGATTACTTCCTACATCAAATTGACGTTATTGAAATATATTTCAACTTCCTTTTTAAGTTTTCTTAACACACAAAACAAGCACTTTTTCTTCTTTCAAGTATTAACAGCTACGTACGTTTAATAATTATGTATACCTTTTAAGTAATATATATTAACGCAGTTTTTGGTTAAACGATTTAGTAGGATAGGCCAAAATATTTTGTTTTATTGCAGGGCAAGTTTACTTCCTCATTCAAATTGACTTTATTAAAGTATGATTATTAACAAGCATGTCATCCCTGAGATATAAAATTTATTGTTGAATGATTTCCTAAAACAAGCACTTTTTATATTAATGTTTGTTTATTGAAATATTAACAGCTGCAAATTGTTGAAATAAAGTAGAGTTGCATTTGTGTGATAGCTTTGTTGTTTACCTTGGTATGTTTTTGTAATGTATATACTAAACATTAGTCAATCACGGATGTTAATAGATTTGGTACCGTGACGTTCCATGCAATCAGCCAATCATGGTTACATTCAATTTAACATCAAAACTAGTAAAAATGCGAGTCAGCGATTTGATATATATTAGCAATCAGCCAATCATGGTTACATTCAATTTATCCAACCAAAACTAGTAAAAGTGCGAGTCAGCGATTTTATATATATTAACTTGCGTCAGCGAGATTTTATCGACCGTACAGAGTGTTGTTAATTTTTCAATGTTTTCAAAGTGATCTACTATCTGATAAACAATCCAAAGTATGCTAGGATGTGAATATTCAAATGAAATTGACTTGTAATTATTCAAGTGAGAATGAATCATACTTAGTTGTTGAAAAATAGAAACGGCAGTGGTTAAAATTTGAAAAGAAAAAACTGACGCAGTGGGGGAAAACGCGCTATAAAAGGATTCTTTCGCAAACCAAAAATTAAAAACTTGCATTTCGCGATGGATGTATGCTTACTTATAGTAGTAGGGACTTATAAAAGAGAAAAGATACAAACATTTTACGATCAAGATTCTTTATCATTTACATTTTATTTATCAATTGACTTTTCAAATGCTATACGTTTTCAATAAATCTCACTTTCATGCTAGATCTGATTTCAAGATTTAAAGATCATTTGACTTGTTTTCCAATCCCCGAAATATATCAGTGTTATTGTATATGCTTACTGTATATATTTATGTTGTAAAATAGAAATAAAATATTGTTTAAACTAAGATTTAAAGATTTCTCAATAAAAAAAGTTTGAAATGAGTCGTTTACGTGCGACAGAGGATCTCGTTATCTTTAGTCTTATTAAATAAAAAAAACCGTTACAATTAGGTGTGACAAATGATATAATTTATCTTACAGCGGCCAAGGGAACGGTGTGCAGTCGCATGATGGACAGGTAAAACTTGAGAATTTTTTTCACACAAATTTTAAGCTTTTGTATAAATAGTTTTATAATGCAGAAAATTGTGATAAAATTTTATACATTACTATATAATTTTATGTCATATTTATTTTTCATATGTTTTTGTATTTTTGTATTTTTAAGTTTTAATGTAATATTTCTTTGTCTTGCGTTTTTCATTTCGACTCTAAATTAGATAAAATTTTATCACAATTTTCTGCATTCTCTTTAAGGAAGTATTTACCAGGTATGGTGCTCCGCGAGTACTTGTTTCAGATAGGGGTCGCAATTTTATGTCTAAATTAGTGAGTGCATTGTGTGAGATGTTCGACATAACCAGACATCACACCAGTGCATATCAGCCTCAGACAAATGCGACCTGTGAGCGCTTAAATTTGACTCTGGAACAAATACTTTGGGTCTATGTCAACGAACACCAGCAAAATTGGCCTTCCATCTTGCCAGCAGCAATGATGGCCATCCGTATGTCACCAGCAACACAGTCAACAGGGTTTTCACCATTTTTCATGCTTTTCGGTAAGGAAATGAAGTTACCTGTAGATACATCCCTTATTCCTAAAACAAATATGGGAATGGATGCTCAGTGTTTCTTTGAACAACAGCTTCAAAACTTAACAGTTGCCAAAGAGATAGCTGGATCCAATATGAAAATTGCCCAGGAAAAGTCAAAGAAACGGCATGATATTAAAGCTAAGGAACCAATTTTATCGTAGGAGATTGGGTTCTTCTGAAAATCATGAGAACTAAAAAAGGAATTTCACCAAAACTCATGCATAAGCATATTGGTCCTTACTATATCATTAGACTCGAACCAAATTTCTCATATCGCTTGATTGATTGCAAAACTCAGATTCCTCTGAAAGACTTGATCAATGCATCACGCATCAAAAAGTATGTGAAGCCTGAAACTGTAAGGCAAAAGCTTGCCAAGGCTGTTCAACCTGCTGGGGCCAAAGGCTCCAGTGTTGGTCAGTCACCTCCTGAAAAAAACCAAATTGGTTAAAGATTCAGTAAAACCCTCTGGGAATTCTGAAGAAGGTGGTAAACATTTGCATTCAGGTTCTATTGTAAAACAGAAAACCATCGATGGACGGAAGCATTACCAATTCAAGGATTCTACTGAATGGATTCCCTTGGAAAAATGCAATCCTGAGGATATTCAAAAACATAACATCCACAAGGCTGAACGTAAGCAGTCTAGGCATGGTATGATGACTCGTAGCAAAGCACGTGTTGCAGAATAATATCAGTAGGGTCAAATTCAATTTTCAATGAAAATTCTGGAACAATTAAGTGGCTTGGTGCTTCAGTTCTCTAGTCTAATTGGTACACCAATCTTTAATTTTCAAAATCTTTTTTTATGTAGTCAGGCCAACCATAACAAATTCACATTTGTTGTCTTATAGTGTTATCAGGTGACTGATCCCCACCTAACCCGGCTACGCTACATACAGTTTTTTTACGTTTATTGTAGGTCCGACTGGAAAACTGAAAGCAATGAAACTACTTCTTTGGGCCATTGTCCTTCTGAATTGTTGTGTTAGGCCTACCACGTGTGCGAAATCATTGTCCAGGCTCAATTGTGGAACTATGTTTAAGTCGGCCGCAGATCTGCATCTTTCGAATGACTATTGTTTGCATACTTTTGAGTTGCAAATATCACAATCACTTAGTTTAGACCCACTTGTAACATGTAACAATGATACGTGTTTAATAATAAACCATATTATGGTTCAAATTAACACTATTATGGCTGAGACATCTGTTCGACTGAACGATACCTTAAATGCAAATAAATCTGAGTGGCCACATATGAATGATATTTTAATTTTTGTTACCATGAGTGTCACTGTGCTTTCTACATTAATTACGAATTTGTCATTTTGTAAAATAAGGAAACTTTCTGTCGCACTAGTGTTTCTTCATAAAGCCAACTATGTAAAAGGGTTCACTTCAAATGTACCATCTTTTATTTACAAAGCACCACCTAAACCAGAATCAAGCAACAGTTTTTCAACAAAAACCATGTTACATTTGGAAATAACTTCTGGTGACTCATGCATTATTATGCCTGTAATGCATTTGCCTTTATCGTCCTACCTATTGCAAAATCAAAGCACCGTCTGATATATGTAATTTTGCTTTGCATGGACCATGGTACCAAAAAGTGTTAACCTTTGACTGGCCAAATTTTATCATTACTGACTGTCGTAATAACATGCCAGTTTTGGTGCCAAACAAAATCAGTCTCAGTTTGAAACAGTACTTCAAAATACGCTCTATTTTAAAGAAACCCTTCTTTGTTTATGTACACATTCAACATAAGGGGTTCCTAATGCCAATAAATGACCGAATTCAAACAGATTTCACCTCTGATACTCTTTAGAGAAGCTACATTATAGAGTCTAACCAGTCTTTTGCATTTGGCCACAAATATGTTCATGTTTCCTTGTGTTATATCACTTGTATATTTACATGTATATATGTTCTTTTGTTGTTTCATTTCAACTTTTGAGTCCAAAGTTAACGGACCATAGGAGACTTTTATAATGCAGAAAATTGTGATAAAATTTTATGAATTATTATATAATTTTATGTCATATTTCTTTTTCATATGTTTTTGTATTTTTGAATAAGTTTTAATGTAATATTTCTTTGTCTTGCGTTTTTCATTTCAACTCTAAATTAGATAATATTTTACACACATTTTGCATTTATTTTAATCAAAGTATTTCGGCTTAGCAAAACAAATATCCTTAACCATCTTTGTTGAAAAAATATTTTTCACACATTGAAGCCAAATTGTTTGTTTGCTACTGATAGCTAGTCAGACTTCAGGTTTTAGCACCTTTGACATTTCCTCCAACTTCAAAGACTTTGTCACTCAGAAATCAAATTAAGCCCTTTGGCTTTGCTTAGCAGATTATTAATTACACATTTTTTGTTAAAACTCCTTATCGGTATTGTTTGGACAGTTTGGCAGATTGAGTAACTCTCCTGGAAACCTTCCATAAAAAGGACTGTATTTGCAGTCAAAGTTACATTCGCTCACTGTAACTTTGACAAAGAACTATTTTATTAAATTGTGATTCATCAGTCTTTTAAGTTTGTGTATTTATTATTCCAGGAATAATCCTAAGCCGTCCTTAATAGACGCACTATCCCAGTGTTATATTAATAGCTTAGAATCATCATATATTGAAATTAGTAAATCTCACTAAAATATTATAAGCTAAAAATCATCATGTATTAAAATAAGTAAATCTTATTAAAATAAGTTTTGATACCAAAGATATGATATTTTACTGCAATAAATTCAGCAATTTGAATTTCTTATACTTTCGTCATTTGATAAAATAATTAAAGGCGCATGATGCCTCAGAAATCCACATTTTCAATATTTAGAAATATCAAACACGTGTTTAGTAATATTTTTAAAATGGATTTAGAGAATGTTAGGTTTGAAACAAATGAAGATATTATAGACCTTTTTACGACGCGGTCCGTTGCTATGAAAAATTGACCGGAAGTAGTATTTTCTCGCGCATGCGCAATCTGCGTAGGGCAAAAAAGCGTTGCCCTAGTAGAAGTTCATAGATAATTCCGAGTTAGTTTAAGGCAAAAATTAAGAAATCATATAAAAAAGCTTTTTACACAAACATGAAAGATACATTTATAGCTTTGTACAAAAAGGCACGGAAAAGACGATTGTTTAAGAATCCCCCCTTTCGATAACGGACATGACAGTGAGATAATTGTTGTAAAAAATGTCGAAATATATATATTATCAAATAAAGAAGTCAATTTAATTGTTGTTGAAATTGTTCTTATAAAAACTAAAGAAATTTATAACATATAAAATAGAGGTTTATTATTATTCTGAAAATAAGTCGGAACACGTGATAATTAATGCATTTTTAGTTTTCAGCTTACCTAATATTATCCTTTATCCGACTTGACTGTGATGCCAAGCAGAAACTTTTTAAGACACGTGCACATAGATATATTTAAATAATGTTCCAAACTCTTGATAGGTTAAGATGAGTTATGAAATAACACACATTTTATCCGGTTTCTCGTAAAATATTAAAATGCACGTCACGTCACGTACGTACGCTATTTAATTGTCGCTTCACAAAAATAATAAACATTGATGGTATAAACTTAAAAAGTAACTTAAATTACGATAATTCCATAATTTTATGTGATTAACTATGTCATGGTACTAAAACGTCCCGGTTGAATGATACTGAAAACTATAGCTGGCAAATAACAATTTTAATTGTCACTCGATCACGTATCAATCCGTTTGAAAATTACCGCCTTGCCAATCCACTTTCAAATGAATACCGATTGTGTAATATTATGTAATACATGGGTAATAAAATTGTATCTTTGATACCCTGCTGTTTTAAATTTTAAATTTTACTGTTTAAAAAGTCATTTTAGATACATTGAACAGAATTTTTGGGTCTTTTAAAAATTATTAGTCCCGCAAATTTTGGTATATCTGTTAAAAATTATCAATTCACTTTTGAAGTGATGTACTTCCCGGGTTTAATTCTTCAAAAAAAATTCTTTTTTTCTGATTACATAATTTATATAAAATTTCACTTAAAGGTGGGGCCAGCAAAAGTAGTCTTTTTCCATTTTTTTGGCATTTTTGCCCCACGAAAAATTTGCGCATTTTGCAAAATGCAACTTTATTGCTAGGGAAAAAATCGTTTTGAAAAAAAAAGCCCTATAGCTAAAAATGGCAAATGCCGTAAAGGTATAAAATTTTAAAAAATCGGTATTTTGACTTCCGTACAAAATACTAATTCACTGTAAAAAAAATACCGATTGTCAACTGAGTAAATGAAGCAAAAGATAAATCATGTATATAGCAACTGAGTATTTTTGGAAACTTTAACAAGAAAACAAAAAAAGAGTATTTTTTAGAAATATTAATGATTTCTGAGTCATGAGTCATA